ACTCACAAGACAAGAGAAGTCACAACTTTGCCACTCCACATAACTCTCAAGACAAGAGAAGTCACAACTTTGCCACTCCACATAACTCACAAGACAAGAGAAGTCACAACTTTGCCACTCCACATAACTCACAAGACAAGAGAAGTCACAACTTTGCCACTCCACATAACTCTCAAGACAAGAGAAGTCACAACTTTGCCATCCTGAAACTGAACTAGTGCCTTCTGCAAGTGAAGGCGCAGCACCAAACAGCTACAGCAGCACCAAACAGCTACAGCAGCACCAAACAGCTACAGCAGACGCGGGTTTCATTGGATGAAAGAGTCCCTTCTATGGACAGACTGTTCAGAAAAACACACGAGTCTGACGGACAACTGACTGAATTCACCCTATCCATACGCCCTGGGGTCATTTTGTACCCCCAGGGTTCTATTCTTCACATTTTAGAATACTTCTAGTACGAAGATCTCTTTGAAACTTTCAGTATTTCTCAAAAAATCATTTCGACACACTGCTATGCAAAGCGTGAGGATCGGATTAACGAGCAGATTAAATTTCATCTTTGAAAAGTGGCGGCACAGAGTTCCCCACGCCATATGTATACGATAGTAAAACACGACGTACTGACAGGGTTAAGACGTCTTTAACCCCATACAGACACAAGTTAGATCACTGCCGAGGAGGGCTGACTCCCATCCTTCCTGCCAAGAGCCAAAGCTGTCGGAAAGAGACAGAGCATCCACAGCAAAAAAAGATTCATTTTTCAACCGGAGACACGACATGACAACATGCCCGTGTGGGAATCCACTTCACTTCTTACTTAAGCATGGCGAGGATCTAACTCCGAGACACCACAGCTTCCTGACCTCACAGACACAGACAGACAGACAGACAGACAGACAGACAGACAGACAGACAGACAGACAGACAGACAGGACTTGTGACTACGACAAGCCAGCAGACTCTGCACATCCCGGCAAAAACAAAAAGCGACAACAAACATCCCCCTCCTCTCTCGCCACAAACGGCACAAGAAAAAGGAGGCTGGCTGCTCCCCCCCCCCCAGCCTACAGGAGACTGTAGGAAGACCGGAGATACTCCAGAAACTATCTTCCCACTGAGGGAATAAAACAGATATCTTAAGAGAACATTTTTGTAAGTGAAACGATCGCTCCACAACTGTCTAACGGGTCCACCCACACGCTAACAAGAAGGCAAACTCACTAAATTAACAGGAGGTGAAAAGACAAAGAGACTTTTCCCCATATCATTAGTGGGCCTGCGGGCCCTCCCCCACCCCCTACCCCCCTTTCCTCCCTCCCTCCTTCTCCCTACAAAGGAAAAAGGACTGCTGTATGAGGACACAAACAAATAAAAAAGCAAAGCAAATTCTACTGGCCGGCTACACTCACACCTCCCTGTAAGTCAATACATTTTAAAACAAACAAAACCAAAAACCAACAATATTTGCCATTTTAGTTCAAGCACAATGCTTTTTCACCTCAAACTACGCCAACTACAGAAATCAAAAACAAGAAAAAAAAAACCCATCCTGATGTAACACACACACCGTCCACCTTCCATGCCACAAAGCCAGGGTCGCACCACGCAGTGTGTTATCTATCAGGCTGCTTACAGGAGCGTACAGACAAATGGGAGGGAAAACAGTTTCCAGTTCCTCTCTCAGCCGGCTGCACATGTACGCCATGGATTTTCTGGGAGAATTGATTCATCCAGCCATGCTGGTCGCAGATTTCTGTCCCCCGTAGACAAGGTAAAGAAGCAAATCCACTTGTCTTCACTGTCCACAAACCTCTCACCAGAATCCAACAAGCACACACAGTGAGCAAAGGAAAACCCACGACCAGCCAAAAGTCACTGGGCCACAACTCAAAGTCCCAGCAAAGACTGAAAGTCTCAGCACTGTGACAACTGAACGTCCCAGAGACAACCGAAAGACTTCGCGCGACAACTTCCTGTTTTCAGTCTCCGGCAGCAGACAACACAAAGCTTGGAGCGGTCCGTGAAGCTGGGAACAGACGCCCGTCCCGACGGTTCTCCTGACACACAGATGAACGAGTCCCCTCAGCCAGGAGCAGGACAAAAAAAAGAGCCATTATTTTGTGGGGAGTCCGCGCTCCCGCCCAAGATAAACCGTTGCACATTTGTTCATTATTCAGAGTCAACAAAGAAACAAGAGCATGATATTCTCCATATACAAAGGGCCACCATTCATCACCTCAGGAGCACAGAATTCAAAAAGCAACGAGGAAAAAAAACCCACCACAGGAGGGAAGTACCTCCCGTCGTCATGAGGATCGAACATCCCCCAATAAGAGCGGTAGCCCCCAACCACCACACTGCCACACACCACCACTGCCACACACCACCACCACCACCACACTTCCCACAGTTCTCAAGCCAACCTAGGAGTGGGCACATGGTCGTGGGGGTGGGGTCACGAACAAACTTGACCAATGTGTGACAGGTGAGTTCGTTCTCCGACAAAGAAAGCCCGCACCAGCCAGCATTCTCCCTTCTGCTGTCAGTACACGAGCCAGCTCTATGTCAGACTGACACCAGATGACACGTCAGACCAACGCGAGATGACACGTCGGAGAATCTACCAATGGCCTGCCTTCCTGGCACAGCAAAACTAAGCTACCTATTGTCAGAATAAGCATAGATGTGTATTGCTCTTTACAGTATGTATCTAGTTTTATAGGTCTTGAACATAGATAAATTCCTGCATGTGGTTGAATGATGCAGCTATGCAGCTGATGTGATATGTACATTATCTCAGCATTACTTCTCTTTTCATATTGAATTTTAATGAGAGTAATATTCAACTTAAATGGTTTATGTACACCAGTATGTGTTTTTACAGTCCTGTACAGCCAAGAAATATTTCCCTCTGGGACAATAAAGTATTATCTTGTCTTATCTTAAATCTTTGGCTGTGTGGGCACAGTATTCAAAGTTTGGAAACCCAGTCGTGGTGACACGAAACTGTCCACCTGACGCAGAAAGGCGGAGATACTCCATAAATAAAACATCTCCTCATGGGGAATCAAACTCGTTTCTTCTGCTCGCAGCTACGACTAGCCTAACCTTTACACCGCAGGCAGCGGTCGTCTTATGGAAGATACCTATCGATGAGGTATCCCCGCCCTACGGCCAAACTTGTTCATCTGGCCACTCTCTCAACTCCCCGGGGAAACTCCCTCCGCACCACGCACATGTAAACTCCCTCCGCACCACGTACATGTAAACTCCCTCCGCACCACGCACATGTAAACTCCCTCCGCACCACGCACATGTAAACTCCCTCCGCACCACGTACATGTAAACTCCCTCCGCACCACGCACATGTACACTCCCTCCGCACCACGTACAGGTTAACTCCCTCCGCACTACGCCTAGGTAAACTCCCACCATACCCCGGCCAGATGAATGTACACCGTGCACAGACACACGGGCACCTCTGTACTCACATTTCCTTCTGTGTGGACCACTCCAGGTACAAAAGGAGTCAACAACAAGTTCACAATACAAAAGGAAATGACGAAATTCGCCACAAAGTTTTCCTTTCCCATTCCCAGCTACTTCCCGTTTCAGACAGCTGCAACTCCCACTGTCAACAACAACAAAAGTCGGTGATCCTTCCTTCCCTCACGGTCATACGCCACGATGCATGTCCAGATATCAAAGGGTAGCATCAGCACATCAGCTCCAATAATTCTATACACACATATATATATTATATATATATATATATCTTCATAGAAATACTCATATATGCAGGCAATGAAAAACAAAAACATTATAACAATTCCAAGGAGAATGTTGAAACAAAAGATGGAGTCACACATTATGACATATGGCATTTCCTATACATTGACTGAGGAGGCTTCTCTCACACACCAGCCTAACACAACACAGGGAGAGAGAGCAGTGGTAGTGAGCAGCTTCTGGGCACGGGGGGGGG